CTCTCGGGCGGGCCGCCGCGGCCCCCAGCCGCCGTGGCGGACCGACGGACGACGTCGTCGTCGTCGTCGTCGTCGTCGTCGTCGTCGTCGTCGTCGTCGCCGTCGTCGTCGTCGTCCTCGTGCCGAAGCTAGGACGTCGTCGTCGACGTCGATGTCATCGTCGTCGTCGTCCTCCTCGTCCTCGTGCTCGTCCCGAAGCGAAGATGTCGTCGTCGTCGTCGTCGTCGTCGTCGTCGTCGTCGTCGTCGTCGTCGTCGTCGTCGTCGTCGTCGTCGTCATCGTCGTCGTCGTCGCTGGCGACGCCGACGACGCTGACACTGACGACGCCGACGGGACGGCGGCTGCGACGCCGGCGGCGACGGCGCAGGCGCGGCCGCCGACGCCAACGAGGACGACGCCGACGCCGCCGCCGACGACGACGCTGTCGGAATGAGGAGGCTCCCCCCTCTCCCTTCTTCAACCTTCCCTTCCTCCCCCCTCCCCCTCCTTTCTCCACTTCCCTCCTCCTCCTTCCCCATCCCTCCTCCCCGTCCCTCCTCCTCCTCCTCCTCCTCCTCCTCCTCCTCCTCCTCCTCCTCCTCCTCCTCCTCCTCCTCCTCCTCCTCCTCCTCCTCCTCCTCCTCCTCCTCCTCCTCCTCCTCCTCCTCCTCCTCCTCCCCCTCCTTTCTCCCCTTCCCATTCCCTCCCGCTCCTTGCTCCTCTGCTGCCCTCTTCCCCCTCCCTCCTCCCCCTGCCCCTCCTTCATCCTCTCCTTCCTCCCTCCTATGTCCCTCCCGCTCCTCCCCCTCACAGTAGTGCGCCCTGGTGCGTCAGCCGCTCCGCGCGGAACACTGCGTCCGTCGAAGGGCGGGCCTGTAGCGCGCTGGACGAGCCAGACTCGAGAAAGGGACGCCACCGGCCATCCATGCACCCATCCTTAGAGGGGCCCAGGGACACACAAATAAATAGACACAAATTCCAGGATTCCCAATATTTTCCAATATTTTCTGTGTTTGTCGTTTTCCCCCCATTTCCCACAGTTGTCCTGCATTTTCCTTTGAATGTACAGTGAATTGTGTCTGTGTGTTTTTCCCCTCCTGACATGTACCGATACCGCTATACTCCGCGGACCTCTCCCGGAGTGCGCTCTGACCAGGATTGCGAGGCGGTTCCAGCCGGTGGGAGACGAGGGCCTGCCAAGGAGGGGCCGCCAGAGGGTCTGTGGCACCGTCCCGTTCGCGCCCGCAAGAGATATGTGGCATGGGGCCCTTTGCGCCCAGATTACAAGGCACTTGGGTGCCCCCAACCCTCTGGAGCTTCAGGAGCTTCAGGAGCTTCGGAAGGTTGGGGGCACCCAAGTGCCCCATCGATGCACTTTCTGCAGAACATCCGTTTCTAGGGGAACACACAGTGCCTTGAACATGAAAACATGGAGGTCCGTGCGGACTCCTCGGATCGGAGCTGGACCCCCCTCCATGGCGCGCGGAGCGCGCCAGGGGCGGCGCCAGAAGCGCTGCCAGGGGTCCCCAGCGCCGATCCGAGGAATCCGCGCGGACCTCCGAGTCTTCTGTTGATATCATTGTTTGTTCCCCGAGTTCCGGCCCGGTAGACGAGGCGCTCCTAAGAGCCCCATGACCACCGCGATACAGCAAGCATCGAGCTCGGGCCTCCACAAGTGGAACCGCCAGCGGGTAAATGGCACGGGCCCGTTCGCGCCGAGATGGCCGGGACCTCTCCTGCAGAACGCACGTATTTGCCCAGTGGACGGAGTCTCTTCCCTAAAGGCCTCCTAGATGGGGTTCGAGTAGATGGGGTCGGAGGATCGCTCCGCATCGCCAATGCAGCGCCGATGTATCGGCGTTGCATCGGCGATGCCTCGGCGATCTCGGCGATGCATCGGCGACGTCGGCGTGGGGAAACACGGGCTCCACATCGAGCCGCATCGCCGATACATCGGCGATGCGGCGCGATCCTGCGACCCCATGGACTCCGACCCCATCTGGGAGCCCTATAGTCTCAGAGCCTCCCGATCACAACGACGCAGCAAGTATCGCAGGCGGTCCCCCCCCCAGAGGGGGCACGCCCAGGGGGGCAGAACACGAGACCGTTCGCGTCCATGCTGCCAACGACGCACGTGTTGGCCCAGTGGACGCAGCTCGCCCCAGGGCCCCAGAGCCACCGCCATGCAGGCACCGCGCTCGGGAGCAGGAGGAGGAGGAGGAGGAGGAGGAGGAAGACGCCAGGGGCATGGCCCAGGCCCGTTCGCGCCCGGCTTGCCGGGATTTTTGTCCGGCAGAACGCCCGGCTCGCCCTCGTCATCATATGCTTGCCCGTCGTCGTCGCCGCCGCCGCCGTCATTCTCCTCGTCCTCCTCGTCGTCTGCCTCCTCGTCCTCCTCGTCCTGCTCCTCCTCCTCCTCCTCCTCCTCCTCCTCCTCGTCCTCCTCCTCGTCCTCCTCTTCGTCTACCCTCCTCGTCCTCCTCTTCGTCTACCTCCTCGTCCTCCTCGTCCTCCTCGTCCTCCTCTTCGTCTGCCTTGTCCTCCTACCTCGTCGTGCTCCTCCGTGCCGCCGCGACGTAGAACGCATCGCACGTAGCCTCCAACGGAAGGGGGGCCAGGCAGCGTGACGTGGGCCCGCTCGCACACAGACAGGCGTAGCCTCTCAAATAGACCTGCTGGTTTCGCTGGCAGGCATGGGCTTCGGAAGTCGGCGCGGCTCTCGGAAATAGACTTAGGTCGGACAGGCAGATGTTGGAAGAAAGAATCCAATGATACCCAAAGATAGTCAAGCAACGCCGAAACATCCTCCCCAGGCGATGTTTCGACTATTTCGTGACCTTCCTCCTATAGAGGGCCATGCCCGAGTTAAAGATAGTCGTAACCTCTCAAGTCGACCTGCTGTTCTCGCAGGCAGGCATGGGCTTCGGAAGTCGGCGCGGCTCTCGGAAGTAGACGTAGCGTAAGGTCGGGCATGTCCTCCTACAGGCGGATGTTGAAAGTAGATGGAAATAATCCAACATACAGTTAAAACATCCAAAACCGTAGAAAACTCGTTCCAGGGACATGTCTTAAACTATGTTCGGAGAATCCCCATGTGCGAGGACATGCCCGACTGAAACATAGCCGTGACCTCTCAAGTCGACCTGCTGTGCACGCAGGCAGTCATGGGCTTCCGAAGTCGGCGCTGCTCTCTGGAGCAGACGTAGCTTACGGCCGGGCATGTCCTCCTACACGCGGATTTTGACAGCAATATGAAATATCGTCAAGACTACGACTAACCCAAAAAAAGAACAATCGTCCCCAGACACATGTTGGATACTGTTTGAACATTCCTCTTGCAGCAGAACGTGCCCGGCTTAAACATAGTCGTAACATCTCTGGTCGACCTGCTGTTCTCGCAGGCAAGCATGCGCTTCGGGAGTCGGCGCGGCTCCCGGAAGTAGACTTAAGTCGGGCATGTCCTCCTGCAGGCGGGTTCTGGAAGAAAACAAAACAGAGCCCCAACAAATGCCCAGGCATAGCGAAACATAGTCGAAAGGTCGTCCCCAGACTCTTATTGGATGAGTGTTGGAAATTCCTCCTGCTGATGAAAATGCCCGATTTAAAGATAGTCGTAACCTTTCAAGTCGACCTGCTGTCCTCGCAGGCTAGCATGGGCTTCAGGAGTCGGCGCGGCTCTCGGAAGTGGACTTAAGTCGGGCATGTCCTCCTACAGGGATTTTGGGAGACAGTAACATGTCCCCAAATTCCCAACCACAGTCAAGCAGAATAGAAGCATCGCCCCCAGACTGTTTCGGCTACTTCAAACTCCTCATGTGGATGGTCATGTCCGACTTTCAGATAGTCGCACCCTTTCAAGTCGTCCTACTGTTTTCGCAGGCAGTCATTGGCTTTGGAAGTCGGCGCGGCTCAGGGAAGCAGACGTAACTTAAGATCGGGCGTGTCCCCCTACAGGCGGATGTTGGAAGACACATGAAAAATATCCCAAATCACCCCCCAAATAGCCAAACATAGTCGAAACATCGTTCCCAGACTATGTTTGAACTAGTTTTGAGTACTCCTCCTGCAGAAAGACATGCCCGACTTAAAGACAGTCGTAACCTCTCAAGTAGACCTACTGTTCTCGCAGGCAAGCATAGGCTTCGGAAGTTGGCGGGAAGCAGACGTAGCTCAAGGTCGGGCATGTCCTCCTACAGGCGGATACTGGAAGACAAATGAAACAATAGTCTGAAATACACAAATTTGCGGAAGCAATAACCGAGCAATCGTCCCCATACTATGTTTGACTATGTATGGGTTTCCCTCTATAGGGGACATGCCCGACTTCAAGGTAGCCGTAACCTCTCAAATCGACCTGCTGTTTTCGCAGGCAGCCCAAGAGACCCCTAAATGACTGCCAAGAGAGTCCCAAGACGGCTCCATGGGGCCAAACTGGCGGCAAGGAAAGCTCGGAAAACTGGAGGAGCTCCAAGAAGCCTCGGGATTGAAGGGGCCCACAAACACACAAATAAATACACACAAACAAAATGATTCCCCATGTGTTCCTACATTTTCTAAGTTTTTGTATTCCCCCCCCCACTTCTCATATTTTCCTATATTTTCCTGGGGATCGACGATGACTTGTGTCTGTGCGTTTTTCCCCCTCCTGAAGGGTGCCCCGAGACACCCCGGGAGATTCCAGGAGCCCCAGGTCGGGGGTCTTCTGACCCGGGTCAATCCAGGCCCGTGTCAGTCAGGCCCTGCCGAACCCTGCAAGACCCTGCACCCAGACCCGGGTCAACGCGAAGGCTCCTGCAGGACTCCTGCAGGACCCTGCACCCAAACCCGGGTCACTGCGCCCCTGGCCCCGCAGAATCCTGCAAGATCTGGCGCTCTGACTGACCCCCGTCTGCGTTGACCCCCGTCTCAAGGCTCCCGACCAGGACCCAAGGGGGGGAAACCCTGGGAGGCTCCGAGACTCATATTTTCCTACATTTTCTCAGTTTTTGTCTCCCCCCACCCCCCACTTCCCATATTTTCCC